CCACTGACAAGTTTATCCATAGAACTAACCCAGATCAAGAGCATGCGATGAATGTTTTGACATCATTAAAACAAGGATAGAGGAACATTTCCCTCACATGAACTAATATTATCATAATGGATTTCCTTCCTGGCTCGATAGCCATCAGAGTAGGTGACGTTGCACCGAACTGGGTTAATAATTGATTTTGTTTTTTTTTTTTGCAATTTAATTTCTGCACAATATCCAGTTTTAGCAAGTGTTTTATGTCAATAGATAATGTCATAACACTTGTCTTAATATTGTGTTGGTGTTAGAACATCGGTACATTTGTATTACAAGTGCCAAAATTTCAAATGATAATTATGTCATGCGCAGACAACGAAGACAGCTTTCAGCATAAATATCATGGTATAGAGTATAATATATCTATTTTTTTTATTTCTTAAGTGCTCAAACAAGGTTCTTAAGCATGTAACGATTTGGGACAAAATTAGCCAAAATCATCCCCTAAAAACTATGAAAAATTCTATTTATACAAAAGTGAAAACAGTAGACCCCGCTAAGCGGGATAATCCCGCTAAGTGGGCTAACACATAAAATACACCTTAACCCCACTAAGAGGACTGAGCTATCTAAGTGGGCTCGGAAAAAAATGCTTATGCCATTTTGCTCAAAACTTCTGGTAGTACGCTACAACATGCACTACGCGGACTCCAGGCTTATTTTCTTCCAAAAACGCATATTTGAAGCCGTACCTTCGACACTTTATTGCTCAATGCACCAATACCTACAAAAGAGAGAAAAATGATCAAACGATACACAATGACTCAAAAAAACAAGTATACATAAATTAAACGTATTTACAAACAAAGTGGGGTTTATTTAAAAGATATAAATAAAAATAATAAATAAGTGCAACAAAATTTATATACAAAAATATCTACAATTTGCACTTATCAATGAGCAGTCTCTTTTTGGACATGTGAATCTCAATGCAAAGGAAGTATGTTATGAGACCAAGGTCAATCATCTCGAATTCTTTTATAAGTTCACTCATGAACTTAGAAATAAACACTTCCTCGCTACCCTTGATCAACATATCGTCTACATATAGACAAAGGATGATCACACCTTCATTTGTATCAGTCTTCACATATACACTATGTTCGGATACACACTTCTAAAAGCAATATCCTTTAAGAAACCATATATCCTCTTGTTCCAAGATCTTGGAGCTTATTTCAAACCGTACAATGTTTTCTTCAACTTGTAGAACTTTAACTCTTGTTTCTTCATAACAAAACTAGGGGGCTTCTCTATATATACCTCTTTTTCAAGCGGTCCATTCAAAAACACATATTTCACATCCATTTGATAGATGGATCAATTGTTGTTATCCGTAATACCAACAACTAGCCTTATGATTTCAATTCTAGCAAACGGTGCAAATAACTCCTCAAAGTCTATGCCTTCTCTTTGCGATATCCCTTTGCAACTAATTGAGCCTTATGCTTGATTATTTGACCCTTGGGATTTGCCTTCACCTTATAGATTCGTCTTACACGAATCAATTTCTTTCCTTCTGGTAGATTAACTAACTCCCAAGTATTCTTTTTATCAATAGATTTCAGCTCCTCCTTCATAGCATAAATGCATTTTGGATCACTGAAGGCCTCTTCCGTCTTCACGGGTTCAGATTTGGCCATAAGTGCAAAATAGACAAAATCACCATAATCATTGACTTTGTCATATTGGGACATCTCAAAATCTTAGAGTATTGAAGGCAACCCTCTTTTCCTTGTTGATCTTCTCACATTCTCTTCAATTTGGGCTTCGACAATGAGCGTTTCTACACTTCTCAATTCTACAGAATTTAAATTTTCAATGTAACTGATTACAACTTTTACATAACCGGTTACAGGTTGTTGCAGCTCCTTCAAATCGTCGAAAATAATGTCTTGGCTGATCACAACCCTTCTTTTTGTTGCATAATACAACTTGTAACCTCCTGGAGAGTGATACCCAACAAGTATCATCAATTATCCCTTATCGTCCAACTTCTTTCTAAGTTGTCCCAACACTTGTCGATACACTGCATAACGGAAAACTCTCGAGTGGTTTAGATTCGGTTTGAATCCGGACCATGCTTCTTCCGATGTTATCTTCTTAAGCTTCTTTATTGGAAAACTATTCAACAAATAGGTAGTTATGGATACCTCTTCTCCCCATAACTCTTTCGACAAATACTTCCCATTTAACATGTTTCTTACCATGTTCATAATCAATCGATTATTCCTTTTGGAAGCACCATTTTCTATATAGGGTGGTACTACCTCATGTACTATTCCTTCTTGATCACAAAATCTCCCAAAGTCATTTGAGACGTATTCGCCTCCACCATCCATTTCAAGAACTTTGAGCTTGTGACCTCTTTGTCGCGCAACCATAGACTTGAACTTCTTAAACACTTTGAATACCTCATCCTTTCTCTTAGTTAAGTATGTCCATAGCTTTCTACTATAGTTGTTGATGAATGTGATAAAATATATATTTCCACCAATCGAATCAACTTGCGTCGACCCACACACATCGGAATACACCACCTCAAGGTGATGCTTGATTCTACAACATGCATCCTTGCTAAATATACTCTTGTGTTGCTTTGCTAGTACACACTTCTCACAAATTTTATTTGGTATGATCATGAATGTAAACCCGGTTACCATTCCATTCTTGTGCAATGCACTGAGATCTCGAAAATTGAGATGTCAAAGACGATAGTGTCTTATTCACTCTTCTCGACTAGACGTTGTAGCATGAAACATATGCTCCATATATAAACTTTAACTAAATCTTTAAATTTCTATTGGTAGATATAAGAGCTTTAAGGACTAAAACCTCATTTGCGTTCATAATGTGTAACGTCTGGTTTTCCATGTGAATCTTATAACCCTTTAGAAGGTTACACATGATTTTGGGAATGTACAATACATCTTTGATCAAGAAATGTCCACCATCCATTCTCATGATCAAAACATCACTAATCCCATCGATCGCTAAAGTGGTGTCGTTTACGAATTCACTTTGTTCTTCGTGGTTTGATTGATTTTGACAAACCAATTCTTCTTCCCCGTCATATACGTAGAATAAACAAAACCCAAATAACATTCCTTGATGCACTGTACTACTTCTTTCACATTCACCATAAAGTTTTCTTTTGCCTGTAAGCGGTTGCTTCCTTTACGTAACTGGTTATAGCACGTTTCTGCAGCGATCCCGAAACTACTATTATTGTTATCATGCAGTTATCATCAAAATATTGTCTTGCAACCTCGACTTCATCCGCTTGGGGTCCTTCTTGTCTGTGTTGCGCTCTCTTGCATAATAACCGAACTTTTGACAATTGAAGCATTGTATCTTCCTCTTGTCAAAATTTCCCTTTTCACCTTTAAAGTTGCCTTAACCACCATTTTTATTGCAGCTTCTCTCACTCTTTTGACATGTCGAATTCTTTGAATTTTGAGACTCTTTTCCACAAAAATTCTTAAAAATTCTCTTTACTCTTCTTGAAGCCATTTTCCTTTCGACTTCTTATTCTTCTCAATGAATTGAACTATCAAAGCGATCTCTGTATTTGCTTTGTCGTTATTTCTCTCCTGCGTCCTTTGCTCATGAGCCTCAAGAGTGTTTTGAAACTCCTCTTTGCTCAACTTCCCAACATCATTCGATTCCTCAATTGCCACTACAATATTGTCAAATATTTCCGTCAAAAAATACAAGATTTTCGATACAACATTTTGCTCAGTAACACTTTCTCCACATGATTTTATTTGGTTCACCAATCAAGTAATTTTCGTCACGTAATGGTTGATTGTCTCCTTTCTCCGCATGAACTTAGAATACTATAGAACTAAAAATTAGATTGCAGATATCATAACGAAGAAAGTGCAGATCAAAATATTCAAAAGACTAATAACCATAATGAATATAGATAGTTTAGACACAATGAATTAAATAGTGTGTTAAATTATAATTTCTATATGTCAAACTATACGTGTCGAATAGTTAGAGGTTATCGAAACAGGTTGTTCAATGAAAACTATTGTCCAATAGAAGAACTTGTATATCAAAACAATCTGCATACAAATTTGATTTGATTTTAAATTTAAATCTAAAATAAATAAATTTGATTTAGTTCTAAAATAAATATTTTAGTCTTTCATAATTTTAAATTTTGAAATAAGAACAAACTAAGTTACATCTATAAATAGAAAAAATAACTTATTTTTATAATAAAAATTATAAATTTGCAGTTTGTAAGATTTTGTAAAATTTCTCAGTGGACATGAATTTCCAAAAATAACTATTTTTTTCATTCCCATATGTTGATTGATTATTGTTCAGAAATACTAGTACATTTTTTCTTCAAAGTCCATTGAAATCAAGTTTAAATTTAAGATTTCAAAAATACTAGATCGTAAAGATTATAAAACTTAATAAGTTTATCTGAGCTATAAAATTACTTTTAAAAAAGAAAGTAAAATTTAGTGGAATTCAAGTTCAATTTTACAAAATGTACGAATTGAAAAAATATCATATTTTCTTTTCTTTCTAGATGCAATTAGGTGTTCCAGTATAATACATTAGATTTAGATTTAAAAAGCTATTCTACCTTCTAATATAAAAAATCTACTTGAGTTCATACAAACCCACCTAGTGCTTATGTTGTCTGCTAGGGGCGTGAGACAGTGACGACAAATGAGTTCATTTAACTTCGATGTCTTTGTAAAAATTGCGTGTGAATGTTAAACATCCATTTTCCTCTTATTTAGTTAGAGGTTTCAAAACATGATACGACAAATAAAAGATAGATGAAATCACTTATGTAATTCAAGAAACATTTATTTAACAAAACACAACACATTAATTTACAGAAACTGAATTATTAATAAACATAACCCTCCCCCTTCACTTTATTATTAATATTATCTGCTGATTTAACCATGTTATTTCCAATATCACTCAGTTTCAGCCTTAGTTTCAGTGACCGCTATTTTTATATCATCACTTCCTCCTTCATTCTTCTTCTCTAATGCTTTCTTTTCTATTTTCTCACCTCCCTTAAGAACATTTTCCACAGTTTCAGTTTCAGCAGTGCTTGGTATCACATTGCTTCCTCTACCCTTCTCTTGAAGAAGAGTAGTTCCTTGTGCTTGAGTTCTTTCTTCACTTGGTACCACTTTTTGTGTAATCACATTTTCTCTATAGTTGCTCACATTTTGGCCTGTAACTTCTGAAGATGGCAAGGTTTCTTCACCTTCCTAAAATCAAACCTCAAATTTCAGTGTAAAATGTTTTAACAATTGAAAATGTGAAAAAGTATTATAAAAGTAATGAATATAGAGAACAGAACCTTAGGTTGAGAAGCCTTTTGAGTCTCATATTCACGCCATGATTCATCTTTCTTCCTAGCAGTAAACCCTTTAGCAGTCTCACCAGCAGAAGCAGCCAAACCTTTAACAGTTTCCACCGACTTCGCTGCAAGCTCAGAAGCCTTTGGTGCAACATACCCAACCGCTCCTTCAACAGCACTCGCCGCAGCCTTAGTTCCATCCACTGTCAACTGTGTGGCGTAATGTGTTGCTGTCCACCCCGCAACAGACGCAACTTTCCCTGCGATTTCCGCGGCAGTCTTCCCTTTCTCCACTGTAACATCCTTTGCCTGAACAACGGCGGACTTGGTTTTCTCCGCAGCAGGAGTAACATAATCTGCCGCAGTTTTTGCAGCATTTGAGACTGTGTCTTTTGTTGCCTCATAACCTTGTTGTGTCTTTTCGAGTGTTGCGTTTTTAGCCTGGGCTGCTTTCTCCGCTGCGGTTTTCGCTGCATTTGAAACTGTGTCTTTGGTTGCTTCATAACCTTGCTGGCCTTTCTCAATTGTTGAATCTTTGGCCTGTGCTGCTTTCTCCGCAGCAATTTTTGCTGCATTTGAAACTGTGTCTTTGGTTGCTTCATAACCTTGCTGGCCTTTCTCAATAGTCGTATCTTTGGTCTGTGCTGCTTTCTCTGCAGCAGTTTTTGCAGCATTTGAAGCTTTGTCTCTTGTCACTTCGTAACCTTGTTGTGTTTTCTCAAGGGTTGCATCTTTGACTTGTGCCGCTCTCTCCATTGCTTGTGCTCCTTTCTCTTTTGCTGCTTGTGCTGTATTATTCAGTGTTTCTTTTGTTGCTTCTTTTGCCCTTTCTCTCTCTCTTGCTCTCTCTCTTTCCTCAGCAACACTTTTTTCCAATATAGCATCTTGATTTTCAGCACCAAGTACCCTTCCTCTACCAATCTTCTCGTCACTCCTTGCTTCTAAATCCTTTGTTGTTCCTCCTCTCTCTGCCACAACTTGCTCTTTTCCCAAGGCTATGTTTTGTTCCTTAACGTGTGGTGTTCCAGCAACCACTCTGGTACGGTTATCGAGTTTCTCTCTTGTAGCATTTTCTCTTGTAGCATTTTCTCCAACTATGTTTCCTGCGACATTCGCATTCACAGGAACACGTGCACGATCAAGGTGAATTTGGTTCTCATTGCGATCAGGGAGAGACTGATAGTTTGGTCCGAGTTCATGGCTCTCTCTTGCTTTTCCTCTTTCACCAGCATTTCCAATAGCTTTCCCTGCACGATCTTTGTTGATTTCACCACCTGTTGATGCTTCTACACTTCCCTGTGGTAGTTCTTTCTCTTTCACAGAAAGATGCTCGACGCGGGTTGTCATCTCAGGAACATTGTCTTTCTCGCCGTGAATCTTTCTCTCGGTGATGTTTTCCTTGCGAGATAATTGTCCAGAGGCCATAGATGATGTTTTGTTTTTGAACAAAAACAAGAACAAGGGTATTATGTACTATCTTTCTTTTGATGTTTTATACTATGTTTGAACTTGTGTTTGTGTAGTAGTTTTCTGAAAGTTGATGGATATGAGAATGAGAATGAGAATGAGAATGAGAATGTGTGTGATTTAAAAGGAAAATGGGATTGGCGGTTTGAAGAGGTTTTTGCATGGGAAAGGACATGTGTGCTTATTACTGACACGTGTGATTGTTGTGAAACTAGAAATTGTGTGACTCAGCCTAGGATGATGAAGATGAAAATGAAAATTTAGATTAGAATGATTGGAAGGTGGATTTTCGTGTATAAGGATACGTGGGAAGTTGAGAGATTGCCATGTATGAGTTTGTGCCTGCTAATTGGCCGGGAAGACACATGGCTGGCCCCAAGTATCTTATTTGCTGACGGTGATGCTTCATTTGGGAATATTCAATTCAATTTTTGCTACTTCATCATATAGTTTGTATTATGTGAAATTCTTATTTACCTATTACTATTATTAAAAACTTGGATATATTTATTTTTAAGATTAAAAGTTTTACGCTCTCAATCAATATATATATACAGTTAAATTATACTAAATTTTTTTAATAAATTGTATAACACGACATAATGATATATATGATAAAAAAAACTTATAATATTAATGTATTTTCATTATACTCCATTTTTTTCAAACGCATATATGTATAAATTAATTTTTAAAATTAAAAAAACGACAATAAATTGTAAAATTCTCTTTCAAAAGAATTTTTTCATTATGTTAAGAGTTGAATTCAATTTTTTATGATAAAATATTAATTTTTGTAAAAAGAAAGTGTTTTAAGTTTATTAGGTTATAAAATGAATTTATTTTTGTAATGATATATTTCTAAAGACATATAATAGGATAATATGGGATCAACCTCAATTAGACGTCTGTCCTAGGATATGATGTCTTAAGGAAAACACGGATAGTAACATATACACAGTCTGTAATCATGTACGAAAGAAATCAAGGCAATGATTCTCTAAAAGTTAGACAGTCAACCGACTTTTCAATCAAAGTGGAGTAGTTATTACTTTCTAGGATTCTCCAAATTTAAGTCAATAGGCTTCTATAAATATCTCATTCTTAGGATTGAGATGAAATCTTCAAAATTTAAAATAAAATACCTCAAAATACAAAGCTTCTCACCCTTGCGAGCTTGCTATAACCTAAAAAAAACTCCTCAAAACTGGAGTTTTCACATCCGTGAGCTTGTCCTAGACCATCATCAACTCTAAAGCCTATAGCCACCCCTACTAACATAGGGGTACCACACATATATACTTTATTTTAGCAAGTACAGTGACGCGTACCGTGAGCCACCGGTAAAATTGTCCTATGTCACACTTTCCATTATTCGACCACTCTGATACTCAGCAAAGTTTTCACTCCTAGACCTAACCATCCCTAATCATGGTTGTTAAGAGAACACAATCTCCCACACAGAAGGATACTGAAGGAAGAAATGATCTTAATACCATGGTAGAGATGCACGTCGTCATACATGAGTTATGTCACCAAAACTAAACTATGGAGGAAAACGTCATCAACATTTAGCAGTGTCAGTAAAAGGTTACCCCCCCCCCCCCCCCCCCCCACAGACACATAATATAAAAGTCCTGGATTCTCAGCCCCTCTCAGAAGAGATATTGGAGGCACCTGTTCCCAAAGGTTTCAAGCCTCTCTTCTTTATGAAATTTGATGGACGTAGTGACCCTTACGAGAATGTCGCCTCCATCAACGCACAAATGAACATCATCAAAATACTTGATTCGCTTAAATGCAAGTTTTTGTCTGGCACTTTCAGAGATACAGTCCTACAATGGTACACATGTCTACCACGAGCTTTCATCGTTGGCTACCAAGATATGGTAAAAGAAACCTTTGCATTAGTTTACAATAAATTAACATAGAAAGATATCCACCACCATCATATTTAACATTCAGTAAGGCCCCTCAGAGTAATTAAGGGGAAACCTCGTTTGTTTTAACGAAGCCACTATAAAAGTTGTCCATCCAAACAAAGAAATATTTGTGGGATAATTTCATAATGGTCTCAAAGTAGGGCACTTTTAACGAGTCCCTCGTCTAAAGGCCAATGTCTTCATTAGTGGAGGTGGTCACAAGGGAGGAGTGTTGCATAAAGGGCGAGGACAATACTATCGAGAAGAAGGCATATGACGTGAAAAGTGTATTCCTAATGATAAAGGCAAATCCTACTCATGCAAGAACAACTATACCTCACTCATCAGGGAAAAAAAATGAAATTTACACGATGGTGAAAGAGCGTGGAGAGCTTCACGCCCCTGAATACTCCTCGCGGGAAGATATTACGGAAGGTTATCCACTTTCACGATATCCCTATGCATCCATATCCAAAGGAAGATGTTATGAGACTTAAGCATAGCAAATGGTATTGTTATACGGTGGGAGAGATGACTTGTTTAGTGTTTTATTGCAAATGTTGCGGATAGCAAGAATCACCACTGACTTTTCTTTTATCCAATGGAGAAAGGTGAAAAGAACAGGAAAGACCTTTGATAGATTTTGAGTTCGGGGGGTAAGTTATGAAAAGGGAAGGTGTTAGTACCATTTCCATCCGTAGTTATCTACAGTCTCTTAATTGCTTAGCTCACTTTAAACTTGCTTTGTGTGTGTGTGATTTGAAAATATTTTGAATGCCAATTGTGAGGCAGACTTTGTAATAATTCCTGTATCAGTCCTCAAGAATGTATGCAAAGTGTTTTTTTGAAAATATTTGTTTTGAACGTGAGGTGTAAAAATGAATTTGTTTGTTTGAAACTGTTATGAGCAAGCAATTTGTTGAGTCTTACCCACTAAAGGTCGTTCTTGTTATTTTCCTTCTCTGTTAGAGATAGTATTATCTACACCATTAATTGGTAGGTAGTCCTATCTATTGGATGTGAAGGGACAGACGTAGGGTCGTCGTATGGTCATAGAAGACAACATATGGAGATACTTTAGCAATTTCGTATCGGAGGGATTAGATCATTTTTTGTAGGCGACTTTGAAGGGTCAACAAGGGACTATGATCTTTATTCGAGGGTCTTTTGCTAAAGTATCCCTACGTTCGAGGGACATGACCATTAGTATCGCAAGGTAACGAAGATAGGTTACCCTAGAGGTGACGTGTGAAAGGTGTATTGGTTTCAGTTATGTTATCTTGAAAATTAAGGTTATTTATGTTTGATTTTATTCTTATTATACAAGCCTATTTACTAGAAGTTATATATATACAAACATATAAAGGCAAAGATAAAGCGAGAATGTAAATCTACGCTATTACAGGGCTTTGGGAGAGTTACATAATTATAAAAATACGGAGATGTAAATCTAAACTATTACATTAAACTGTGTGACTTATACAATTGTCTATGAAAAATAAATAGCAAAAAGAATAAACAAATGTTCAAAAAAAAATTAAATGCCCTAAATTGATTTTAAATAATAAAAAGCCTAAAATGATAATTAAAATCCTAATTCTAATTGATTTTAATTAATAAAAAACCTAAAATCTAATTTTCCAAAAAAATCAATTAATTAATTTACACCCTAAAGCTAATTTTTGTTGATTTTATTATATGGCTTCTTTCTGATTTTTTATGTATAAGTTTTGATTAAAAAAAGAGTTAATTAATAATAAAATAACTAATAAAAAAAATGGAATTGGAGAAAGTAAAGCAAAAAGGGTTTTGGCATCGCTGGGGTTCGAACCCCCTCCCTTCTCTTCACACGCTTGGTTCCAACCCGTTCTATGTTTCTTGTTTAACACATCTAGACATATGAAACATATTAATAACACAAGGATTAAGAAATTTGAAATTATAAGGTCCTTACCACTGGTGTGATTGAGGGGAGGCGTTCTGGGAACGGTTGAGCGTGGTTATGGACTTGAGGAGGTTCCTGGGATGTCAGGATGATGATTCGAGGTTTCGTTTCAGTTGAGAAAGACTGGAAAACTGGAATACGATTTGCACCTATTCTTTAAAAATTTTGTGTTTGAGAACATGTTTCTATGGCAGCCAATTTGTTCCTTGTCTTATGGAGTGTGTCCTCTATTTATAATGGATGGTTTTTAAAGTTAACATTCTTGAAAGGAAGCATGTGCAATCAAAATCATTATTTGTTTCCAGAATAATTGCAAAACTTTCCAAAACATGAAGATCTCTTTCCTTCTTCATCCCTCACGGTTTTGTTATGTTGGATATGTGATCTTGGGCTTCAAAATGATCCAAAACAAAAGCCAACGTACCTTGTACATTTATTTAATATTTATTTAATTTATTTATTTTATTTAAACACATTTGATCTTCAAAATTTAGGCCCATTAGCCTAAAATTCCAAAATTGCTCAATTGTGGTTTATGCATTTTCTCAAAATTGCTCAACTTGCACCAATTATAACTCTCTCAAATTTTGTTATATGAAGGTGATCTTGAACTTTTTAGAAAGCTCAAGATGTCCCCTATAACTCTCATGTTGGTCTTTGTTTCATTTGAAGTATTTAACTTGATGTAAATGTCCTTTACAAAAAATAACTTTTTGTTGACTTTTAAAATGACCTGTAATATTTTGATCCATATCTCTCAAATGAAGCAATTTTGGCATTGAGCTTAAAGAGGCAAAGATGTAGAAAATTGAATTTCCTTTAAAATTGGATTTGGTTAAGAAATTTCTGATGAAGCATGTGAAAGTTATGCTTGGTCAAAGTTTAGTTGACTTTTCTTTAAGAAAGCCTTAATTAGTAATTTTTGACTTTTGATGAATCTTGAGTTTTCTTAATGAATCATGATAAAACCTTAATCAAATGATGAATGTGACTTCGAAATCTTTATGTTGACCCAAAATCTTGAGTTTTGACTGTAAGTTGACCAATGTTGACTTTTTATCCAATATAGTTGATTTTCAATCATCTGAGCA